AGGGGGAAAAATAAGAACCAAGAGAGATTATGTAAAGGTGCAAATTTCCAATGATGAATGTCATTATATTGTATACCTACAATGTACCAGTGAAATTAATTTAAAAAAAGAAAAAAATAGATACAGAAAGAGAGGGAAGCAGACACTGGAGTGATACATCTGCAGGCTATAGAAGGAGAAGGACTACTGTAGCCAACAGAAGTAGGAGAGCCTGATTATCTGTCAGCCTCCAGAAGGAACCAAATTCAGATGACCTTGAGTTGGGATTTCTAAGACTTCAGAACTATGAGAAAATAAATATCTGTTGTTTTAAGCTTCCCAGTTTGTGATAATCTGTTATAGAAGTCCTGGGATATAAATACAGAGCAGATAAAGAAGCAGCTAGGAGGCTATTGTCCTGTTAATGGATGAGGAGGGTCAAAACTAGTGTGGTAATGGCAGCGATGGTGCGCTGCTGTCAAATTCTAGATACATCATGAAGACACAGCTGACAATAAGATGTGGGGTGTGATCCCTGTTAGCTCTTATTATCTGTATGGATTGTGCAGATTTTACCCACATATAATATATGCCTAAAAATGTATTTTTTTCATTGCTCTAAGTATCCCAAGTTTGAGGTTACTTAAACTAGGATCATATGCCAAGACAATCACAATAAGCCTATTTGGCTGTGTGATCAAAGTGTAAATCACCTTACCTTTCTGGGCCTTAATCTCCTACATGATAAAATGAGAAGATCAGGGTCCATTGTATAACTGTGTGATTCTATCATTATCAAGTGTTTTGTTGCCTTAATATTGATTAAAGCTCCCGGAGGAGAATAAAGTGTTTTCTGACTTTCATATTGTTCCAAGTCTGTGGTAACTTTGAATAATAAAACTCTGTCCTCGTTGTTGATTCTCTGCCACTTAATACTTGAAGCATATGAAGGAGTGACCCACTGCATTTAATAGAACTGTAGCAATGCCTAGGTAATCTTTTGTGCCTTTTTTCAGCAACATGGGATGAGGGTGGGATTGGTTACTAGGGATCTGGAACTCTACTAGATATAAAGATTTGGAATTCTTAGTCTTGAAATTTCAGACACTTTTTCAGAGCATACCTTGAATTATCACCATTGATGTGTTTTTATTAATAATTTAGGAGAGCAATGAATGTATAGGGTAAGATAATAATAATACTAGTAGAAAAATGTATGTAGAATTTACTGTGTCAAGCACTCTTCTGAAAAATTTTAAACTATTAACTTAACCCTCACAATACTCTTATGAGTAAGATACACTTATTTCCATTTTGGAATAAGGAAACTGAGGCATGGAGCAATTAAGAAAGATTCCTTCAAATATCAATAAGGGAATCTTAATATATTGTGTGAAAATAAAGAGATAATTTTGAAATAATTAAAACAAATGATAAATGCAAAACAATTTGGAGATTTAATATCAAGGAAAGTTTTGTCAGAATCCCACGAAGTAAGTCTGACAGGATCCATAATAAAACATGTGTTTACATTAGATCTCTTCCTCCCTTCAGCCCTTGTTGACTTTGGTACTCTAAGGAGGAAAAGAGATAGAACGAGGCCTCAGGGCACCCCAGTGCAACCACACCAGCTCCCAAATACCTGTCAGATCTGGTTCCCAAGAAGTTTAAAATCTATCCTGGTATTGTTCCTAAGCCACTCCCTTGTTAGGACTTGATAAATTATATTGTCACTTTTTTAATGTGCTTAAATTTCCTTTTACTTGACATCCCAGAGCCAATATTTTGTTTCATTTTCATGCTTCCCAAAAATACTAGCTTTCCTACAAATCTCTTTTCTTACTATTTCAGATACCCCGCTCTCAATCTGTTTCAGGTCAGACAGCCTTGACCGGGTCCATTGTGATGACTAAAGAATCTGGATTGGGCAAACAGGCTAATTTAAAGTCTGAGATCATTTATTTGTTCAACAAAACACCGTGATTGAAACCTACAATATAATAAAACATGTGAACTTGTCACTCAACCAAATCCTGGAAGTTGCAATCCAGCTTTGCAGCATAGAGAACAATAAAAAGAAACAATTTTACACTGCTCTTAGTGTAGAACTAGTTGTCCTCAGTAGGTTTTACACTCAAACAGGCACCAGAGTGATTTAGAGAAATTCTTGAGTAATAAATGAGGAGACTATGGACTGAGTTATAAGCCTCATCACCCATAGGGGTACAGCCAGGGGACAGTGTTTTTTCTAATTGAAGGCTCTTAGAACCTTGGCCAGAGGCAGAAATACTAGCTAAACTCTGTGTTGACCTGCATAGATGCATGTGGGGGTGGAGAGGTGGGGAATGTCTCCCCCATTGTTAGTAACCCTGAACCAAATCCAGGTGACCTTCCAGAGCAAACCTTCAGAATGTCCTGTTCCGACAAGAAGCCCGGGATTAACCCCATGCCACTCCCTCTCCACCCTTCTACAGTCAGTGTCCAGGTGGCTTTATGAGTCACCCAGACCCCACTTGTGGGTGGGGATGGCTTGTGTTTTCTCACTCCTTCCCATCTGGACTCAACTCCCTTCAGGAGAGTTCCTATTTCTTGTCAGCCAGAAGCCACTGTGGTGTTTGCCCCTCCAGGCATGCTCAGTGTTCTGGCCAGGCTTTGACTTTCAGACAGGCAGCAATCTGCCAACGGAGCAAGTCCCCAGTGCCCAGGCCCCTTTAAATCGGGCCGGCCGGTTGCCAGGCAACAGTGTGGCCCGAGCTGGCGCTGCACTGCCGAGGCTCTGCCCAGAGCCTGCCGGCCAGGCAGGATCTTGGTGGCAGGCACCGAAAGAGGGGCTGCCGCCTGCTGGTGGTGGCCGGCTCCGGGGAAGAGGGGACAGGGCTCCCCAGACCGCACCCACACTTACAGGTACGTCTGCAGAAGGGAAAGCCTGGGCTACCCCGGGCTCACCACTCTTCCCCTGGCTTGGGGCTCAAGAGGTCAGGGAGCCAAGGAAGACCCCCCAAGCAGATTTCTTCTTTCTTTAGAGCCCCACGCTGGAGCTGCGAGCTTTGGGAAGGAGAAGGAAGAGGGCATGGTAGTGGGGGTGTGGAAGGAGGAGTGGGTCAAACCTGGCCAGTCCCTCACCAGCGACAGAGTCGAGACAGGGGAGGTGCAGTGGGGGCTCCAGCAGCGCCCCAACTCGGGCCACCTTCTCTCTGCTGGAAGCACCGACTGGCAAGAGTTTCAGTTAACCATTCACAGAGAAAACCTTGGAACTATGCATACAAAGGTACAGCTTTATAGCAAGAATGTGACTCCCATACTAATAAAGTCTCAGCCTTTGGAATTAAGGGGACTTCGTATCTTTTCTTCCAGGAGGAATAACTTCACACTAATGACAAAAGATTAGGGGTAATAACCATCCAGGGTTCCCAGTATTCAGTGTACTTTGTTTCCCTCTCCATATCTGCCACACAACAGAGAAGTGGACACTTAGCCCATATGTTAGACCTCTGAATTAAGGCAAAATTCAGAATCATTTCCCTTTCAATTTTTTCCCCAATTAACTGCATGCTGAGGGGGTCAAGGCCTAGGCTCCAGCTCTTTGCTAAAGTGGCTCTTGACATGTTCATTAATTACAAGCATGTTGCCTCCTTTGCCACTGGTGGCTCATTTGTCCCATAGATTTTTTTCCATTTAGTGTATTGGTACATTTTAGGCATACAATGCAGTTACATTCATCATTGGGATCTTGTACCTTTACATGATGTATCTTGGTTCTTATTTTTTCCCCATTCCCCTGCCCTCCCTTCACCCCCTCCACCCTTCCCTATTTACAAAGACTTCACTTCCATGTTTTTCCTTTTCTCATATGTTTTTCTTTTCCCTTCTTTCCTTTCCCCTTCCCCTCCCACTTCCCCTATCCCTTTAGACATTTTCTGCCTATTTCACAATATCAATTATACATTTTGATTCTTATTTACACTTTTAGTTTTTCACACCAGAGAAACTATTCAGTATTTAGACATGTGTGTCCTATTTATTTCACTTAAGTGTATTGTCCCATAGATTTTTCAAGTGAGGAGATATTGAGTTTGACTAAAATGTCACCATGATTTTTGTCCCATTTGACATTTGTATTGGTCAAGGAGGAAGACTTAATGGCATAATAGTTGGAAAACAGGTTGACAAAAGGAAAAAACTACCTCTAAGTGTCTGGCACATTAATAATAAGACAAATGACATTCAAAGTGTATCACTTGTCCCTTTAATGTACATCTCAGATATAAACATGGGTTTGGACATTCTGATTATTTATATTTCCTGATTATACTGACAGGGTGGAATTTCTTTTTCCAGTTCAAGCTGGAGAAGAACACCAATAATCAGTCCTCAGGAAGGGTAAGTACAGTAGTGTTGGGTGATATCTTGTATCTAAGGACAGAGCCTTACCCAGCATAAACCTTCAAATTTGTAACCACAATTCACTGTGCAAGAAAGACTCATAAAAATGCAAAAGAAAAAGGCCCCCCCAAAGTTTACCTGAGCCAAGTATACTTCCAGGGAAAAATAACAATCTTTTCCCTAAAATGTCACCCAAAATGTTTCATCAGCTAGAGGAGAAATTATCATTTTTTTTCTTTAAAAACCTCAATTAGAATCAAAGTGTTATATACTTTTCAGGAAGTACATTAAGGATCTTTCATGCAACAAATTTCATTAAGGGCTACTATGTGTCAGGTGACAGGAATACAAAGACAAATAAGATGTCAGGCAGTCACACCATGTTGCTGTGTATATATTAAAGGTCTGTAGGAAATGTTCTAAAAGCACAGGAAAAAAAAAGTCAAGAGTGCAAAGTCATCCTTGCTTCCCTCAAACTAATACTCCATTTGTAATATTTCAAAGAAGTTATTGGTGGCTCTGAAAATGGGCATTTAGAAATTTCTTGATAAAGCTATTGGTGAAAAATGCAAATATCTTAGGTTGTAGGGAAGACTACCACTTTTCTGCTTAGTCAATTTATCTTTCGAAATTTGGGCATATCAACAACTAAAGTAGGGTAATCATGGCTAATTCTTCCCTGGGAATACAGATTGAATTAATTTAAAATTGGAGTTTAAGTCCCTCTGCTTACTTTAATGTACCTACTTTTTTTGTGTTAGTGGACATTGAACCCAGCACCTTGTGTATGCTGAGCATGTACTCTACTACTGAGACCTACCCTGATACAAGGGCCTCCAGTTTTTTTTCCAAATTGAATTTTTCTGAAATCTGGTGACTTCGGGCTGGCAAATTGGGATCACAAATTTTTGGAGAAGGTTAGGTTGCTTAACTGACTCATTTATTAGAAAGGAGGGTAAACAAAAGTACAAAACTCATTGTTTCTAGTGCCCTAAAAATTGTGTCCATTTTAATTCTTTTCTCTTAATCACCTGTGAAATGACTCTATTTACTCTATTTTACACCTGAAAAATCTGAATCTCTCAGAAGTCTTCAGTACAGTAGTTTTAACATATGAGACCCAAGATACCTGGTCTCTTTAGTCTTTTATTCCATCATAATCCATACCCAATCCTTTCTGAAGAATTTCCTTTTCCTTCTTTCTCACAACTTCTCCCATTAAAACATATTTCACCTCAAGACAGTTCATCTGGGTCCTCCTCATTCAGGTGTCTGGCAGTGTTGGGCAGGGTGGAAGGGGGTGGACTGTGGGGATGCTCCTTAAAGGGGGAAGGTCAGAATCCCCTCGTAGGGAGAAAGGGTAACTTGCCACTATTTTGTGCCTGGAAATAGTGGAAGCAGAAAAGATGCTGAGAACCACTGCTTTTAAGAGAAAAAAATTGGACAACCGAGTGAAGAAACAAAGCTGGTGGCTTCCTTTGTAGCAGATTTCTTTCCTATTTGGGCTCAGAAGTTTTTCTGAGGGTCAAGAGAACTGAAAACATCCAAGAATAAAGGGAGCCAGTTCCTTGGGCAAAAGAGGTCCTTTGTCCTCACCTTACTGCCCCAGGCAGTGACTGAGAGCCAAGCCTTCAGTTGAGGGCAGCTCAGTGGCTGAAGGTAGTGACAGAGTCTGTTCAACACGGGTTGGAGATGACCTTTTCCAACCATCATTCCTAGTTTATAAAGTTTGAGAGCAAGGACCCTTGTGAGGTGGGAAAACGCCTCTGGGGTTCTTGCAGAATTGTTTTTGTCTGCAAAATAGTGACAAGTTTTGATTTATGCAAAGAGATAGTCCTGAAATTTGAAACCAAATTCTAATGTAAATGGGATAAAGCAACAGAGAGAAAACATCTTTGACTTCTGTCAGCAGATTCCCCTAAAGCATGTGGTTTAAAAGAAAACATTTTAGAAAACTAATAATTAAATTTCGCTCCCATCTTAATATGACCATATTCTGCAGCTTCCCACCTTGAAAATGAAAGTGAGATGGCTCTGTGGATTTCTCCTTTCATGATAAATAATAGTGTATAATTTTTCTGGAGCTGTTTGAGGATAGATATGCATTCATTTAAGATTTTTATCGAATGAGGGCCTGGGATTTAGGTCATTGGTGCAGCTGCCTACCTCACAAGCGCAAGGTCCTGAGTTTGATCCCCGGTACCAAAAAAAAAAAAATTTTATAAGAATGATATACCAATAGAGCTATAGTAAATGATTACTCTTTGCTTAGTTCTCAACATTTATATCACATCATATTACATTATAAACTCCTTTTCAATTCATTTTGTTAGTGGTTCTCAAATTCTTTTTTAGAACTCCTGGGCTGAAGTGATCCTCCTGCCTCAGCCTTATGAGTAGCCAAATTCTTTAGATAAAAGTAAAACACTTCCATAAGACAAGAAATCTCTTACTCCACAAAAAATACCCTACTACTTTGCCACTGAAAAAAAAAACAATCACCAGAGGACAAATAGTGTTGTTTTCATTGAGACACTACAACCATCAGAAATCTAGAATTAACTCACACCAGACACAAATGAATAGATGAAAGGTTTTTGTTTTTTTTTTTTTTTTTTTTTTTT